CAAAAAGATAGATATGCTGCACGTATGCGGCCGCATAATTCACATGCGGACCGCATAACTGACATGGTGATCGCAAACAGAGACAACCTTTTGGCCAATTGAAGAAGAAAATATGCGGTCCATTATGCGGCCGCATAACACTTATACGAGCTGCATAATGGTTGCATAACTCCAGTAGAAGAAAGTTCTTAACATGATATGCGATGGAATATGCTGTCGCATAACACATATGCGGACCACATAACTATTATGCGACTGAAGCATGAACTGGAACTCAGCAAGTCTGCGATGGAACGATGAATATGCGGACCGCATAACTGGTCTGCAATCGCATAAGCTAACTAAAGTGGATTTTTTGTCCGATTTTGACTAAGACTTTTGGTCCACTATAAAGGGAATAACTAGGGTTTTGTGGGTCATTCAAGTCTGAAACAAGGTCCTACTTAGAGAGCATTGAATACTCCATTTATTTGGAAGGTTGTGAAGAAGGAATCTTGTACTTTTGTAAGCTTTATGGCTTTATTAAACACTTTGTTCTTGTATTTTAGTATGAGTAGCTAGTTTTAAATACTAAGGTTGTGGACCCTAGATGTGTGTAATGTTAATTGGTGTTTAACACTGAATATATATATAATGGTTGGTTGATATTTATTCAATTCTTGTTCTTTATTTATGGTTGGTGGTTGCAAACATTAATCTATTCTATTTTACTATGTCTTTACTTGGAAAAGTGAGTTAGGGTTTGGTAGAATTGAATATCAAGAACTCAAGACTTTAAATCTTGTTTAATAGAATCACTTATGAATAAGTGGGTTCTGCTTGGCATAAATTGGTTGTTCTAAAATTGCAACTCTTTTATATTTGGAAAAATCATAAAGGGAAACTACTACCCAACCATTGGAAAATATTGGGTAATCATTTGGAAAACATTTGCATATCAAAGGACCTTCCATTAGAAATATATCACATTAACACCGATAGAATTACATTCTATTGACGGGGATGCAACCTTGGTTTCCTTAATCAAATCATTTACATTCTCTTAACACAATTAGTATCTCTTTAAATTCACAACTATACCATTCTCTTGTTATGTTAACGGAATATAATTACGACCTAAGTCAAGTAGCACACTACTCGAGTAAACTTTTCTTGCCTATTCCCTGTGGGATTCGACCCCAACCTTGTTGGGTTACTATGCTTGACACTGACCGTCTTACACTATTTAATTAAAGTGTAATTTGAGCGTATCAGCCATGCCGTAGAGCAGACTGGTGGGATCATTAGCACTTTCTTTCATAAATTTTATGGCCCGGGAGGACAGTTTGATCTTGAGTTTGGTCACAAGGCAATATACAAGAAAAGTATCCCTTTGAGAGAAGGCGGAGAAAGAGCCAGTACGAGGGAGCAGAGTAGTTGCAACAATGTGGACTAGAACACGAGTTTCAAAGCTAACATCACTTGGACCTAACTGGTTCGGGAGGAATTTAAATGAACACTCAGAAATACATAGCTTTGCTTGATCAAATGTGATTTCAGAATCATCGGGCCAAGAATTTTTGAAAAGCATGGGAAAACCAGAACACTTACACTTGAAGATTGAATCAAGCATGGCACAATCAAGAACGATGTGCTTTCCTAACACTAAAGATTCCAACTTGTCAAACTTACTAGAGCGAAGATTGGCATAAAACATTCTCACTAGGGGTTCATAGACTTTAGGAGGGGGAACAAACAGGAATTTTGATCAGCCTTGATAAACAAACAGATCTTTTACCTTACAGTTTAGGGCTTCCATGTCATCAAGTTCGACTACTCTCCTCCTGGGATTCTTCAAACAGGTATTTTTTCATTGCTATGAAAAAATACCTCTCAGGAGGTTCTTCTAGAGGTCTTTTTCCTGGGGCTTTTTCTCCTAAAGGATGAGAATGATCTGAGCATTTTGCTTGAGAGGAGGCAAACCCCTCTGAGTGTTCGGACCCTAGGTCTACTACCTGTTCTAGAGGCTAGGAAGGGGTTTTTGCTCTAGAGCAAATACTTTTTCTGGTAGAGGCAGAGGGGTTCTTAGAGTGTTTATCCATGGAGGAAAGTGGTTGAGGAGACTTTTGGAGAGGGTTTCTAGGCGATGAGAATGATGGAGATTGAATGAGGGTTTCAGAGATTAAAAGAAGGGTTTTTTGTAGGTTGAGTACAGGAAAGGAATGTGTCACGACCCAAACTACCATGTCGTGATGGTGCCTATTGTGGTACTAGGCAAGCCGACTCTTTACCAAAAACAACCCGATATTACAATTTAAATATAACTTCAAGCTAGTTAATAGAAAAGTTCATAGGAAAAATCTGAATAACAAAGTGCGGAATGAAAAGCTCGACATCGGGGTGTCACTGGTCATGAACATCTACTAAACAGTGTCCGAGATATTAAGACTAACATAGTCAGGAACTGTAACTACAAAATAAACTACAGGAACATAGGAGGGAGAATAACAGGGTTGCGATTGCTAGCAGCTACCTTGCCAACTCCGAGAAGAATCTACAGCTGGACTAGTCAACAGCCGCTACCGAGTCCTGATGTGCCTGGATCTGCACACAAGGTGCAGAGAGTAACGTGAGTATGCCAACTCAGTAAGTAACTAAATTAAATAAAGATTGAGAAGCAGTGACGAGCAATAAAGCATAATAAGTTCATATCAGGGAATCTCAGTAAAAATATAACAGGATTTTTAAATCAGTGTTTAAATCAAATCATTTCGCTTAAACTCAGTTTCAGCAAAATCATTTGACGATATTTTTCATGAGTTCTTAAACAGAGGCTCACTGCAACAATGAGAAAAATGATAAGATCGTAAACAACCCCTCGAGCAGAACATCACTCATAAATCGCCCCTCGGGCAAACCTCACAGTTACTCGTATACAGCCCTCGTGCATAACATCTCTCACACTCAGGGTACCCGCGCTTACTGGGGGTGTGCAGACTTGGGAGGGGCTCATTCACCCCAAGCGCTATAACAAGCCACCTCGTGGCATAAATCAATCAAGCCCGGCGTCACTCAATCATGAATCAGTAACAACATGATGCGGCGTGCAACCCAATCCCATAAGCATCCTCACAAATCAGGCCCTCATCCTCTCTCCATCATAAAACTCTCAAGCCACTCGGGCTATCAGTAAAAACAGGGTGCTCAGCCAAAACAACATTTTATATGCATCAAAGCAGGGAAATAAAGACTGAGTTATGAAATCAATAGGTATAACATGACCGAGTATAAATTTTCAACCAAAAACAGTGAGAGGATACTAAGAAAAAGGCCCCCAAGGGTCCAAACAGTTTTGGCACGAGGCCCAAATACGTCATTCAGCCCAATTTATAGAAATTCTTCTAAAACACATAAGTATCATATAGTTTCAACCAAATACGCAACTTATAGTTGCTACGGGACGGACCAAGTCACAATCCCCAACAGTGCACGCCCACACGTGCGTCACCTAGCATACGCGTCACCTCAAAATAGTAAAACGATACGAAACTCTCAAGACTAGATTTATAATCGCTACTTACCTCAAACCGGTCAAATCTCTACTCCACGATGCACTTTCCCCTCAACTCGGCCTCCAATTGCTCCGAATCTATTCACAATCAGTACAATACCATCAATATACGCTAATGGAATAAATTCCACACGAAAAACTATCAATCTGGACCAAAATCCTGAAATTCCCTCAAACCCGGCCACCGGGCCCACGTCTCGGAATCCGACAAAAAATACAAAACTAGAAAGCCCATTCACTCACGAGTCTACCCATACAAAAATCAAAATCCGACATTGAATGGCCATCCAAATCCCCAAAATCATCTATCCAATTCTCTTCCATTTTCCCCCCAATTTTACACCCAATTCCCAATTTAGATGATAAAAATCAAGATACAATCATGGAATTTAACCAAAATCAAGTGCAGAACACTTAACCCAATCACCTCTCTGAATTTCCCTTAAAAGATCGCCCAATCCCGTGGTCTCTAGCTCAAAATATCAAAAATGGGTTCGCACCCTTGATTTTGAATATAATGGCCTGCGCAGATTTTACTCTTCGCGAACGCGGTAGTGCCCTCGCGTTCGCGTAGCACAAACTACCTCTGACCTGGAAAACCTCCTTCGCGAACGCGAGGACCCACTCGCGGACGCGTAGCCTAAGCTGGCTGACCCTACGCGAGCGTGGAACAACCCTCGCGAACGCGTAGGCTTATCTTCCTGAAGCTCCCAAAGACCGTTGACTCTACGCGAACGCGATAACCTGGTCGCAAACGCGTAGCCTTAAAGTCCTACACCTTCATGAATGAGGGAACTACTTCGCGAATGCGAAGAACAACTCAAATCCCCCTCTCAAAATCCCTTCGCGAACGCGAGAGCCCTCTCACGAACGCGATGAAGGAATTCTCTACAATAAAATACCAGAAAATCTGCCAACTTCCAAAACCAAGAAATTATCCGTTAACCACTCGAAACTTACCCGAGGCCCTCGGTACCTCAACCAAACATACCAACAGATCTCATAATATCATTCAAACTTAGTCGAACCTTTGAATCACTCAAAACAACATCAAAACACCAAATTACCCTCGAATTCAAGCCTAAGAACATCCAAATTTCAAAATTTCACAAACGACGCCAAAACCTATCAAATCACGTCCGAATGACCCCAAATATTGGACACACGTCACAAATGACACTGCAAACCTACTCCAACTTCCGGGATTCCATTCCGACCCCGATATAAAATTTTCCACTGCTAACCAAAATTGCCAAATTTCCAACTTTCGCCAATTCATGCCTAATTCTACCACAGATCTCCAAATTACATTTCGGACGCGCTACTAAAGTCCAAAATAACCTAACCGATCTAACAAAGCCATTAAAATTCAAATCCAAGGTTGTTTACACATAAGTCAATATCCGGTCAACTTTCCCAACTTAAGCCTTCACAAAAGAGACTAAGTGTCTCAATTCACTCCAATACCACTCTGAACCAGAACAAAGCAATGCGATACGATCAAATATAGATGAGGAACACAAAAGGAAGCATAAATAGGGGAAACGAGGCTATAACTCACGTAACGACCGGCGGGGTCGTTACAGGGTGTCAGTTGAACAGGCTTGATGATTGGGTTTTCTTTCTTGAACCATGTAACTGATGTGAAAAGATAGGAAAAGAGAGGGAATTCGAAGGCTCTATTAATGACTATAAAAACACAAAATTTAAACATTAGGCATACGAAATATAAAAATATCACATAGGTCCTAATATTAATGATCAATGGATATAATACCAAGTAATTCTCTTAAAAAGCAAAATCTGTCTTCAAGTAAAGTTTTGGTGAAAATATTTGCTAATTGATCAGTAGTTCCAACAAAATATATTTCTATATTTCCCTTAATAATATGATCTCTAATGAAATGATGCTTGATATTTATATGCTTTTCACTGGAGTGATGCACATGATTTTTTAAGAGACATATAGCACTAAAGTTATCACAGAAAATTTGAATGGGATTAAAGAATAATTCATAGTAACCCAATTGATGAGACATCCATAGTAATTGTGCACAACATTGTCCAATGGCGATATACTCAGCCTCAGTTGTGGATAGTGCAACTGATCCTTGCTTTTTACTGTTCCAACATATCAGTGCTTTTTCAAGTACTTGACATGTTCCACTGGTGCTTTTTCTGTCTTCCTTATCACCTGCAAGATCAGCATCTGAAAAATCTTCTAGATTAAAATTTTTAGAGTGTGGATACCATAATTCGTGAGAAATAGTTCCAATGAGATATCGAATAATTCTTTTTACTGTAGTCAGGTGTGATTCTTTTGGAGCTGACTGAATCCTGGCACATTTACTAACACTAAACATAATATCTGGCCGAGTAGCAGTTAGATAAAGAAGGGAGCCAATCATTCCACGATATTCGTCAACAGGTTTTCCCTGTTCATATTTGTCAAGACTTGTTGAAGGACTCATTGTGTTTTCCCTGTTCATATTTGTCAAGACTTGTTGAAGGATTCATACCAAACTTTTGAATCAACTTCTTTGTGTATTTTGTCTGACATATGAACGTTCCTTCTTCATATTGTTGAATTTGAAGTCCAAGAAAGAACGTTAGTTCTCCCATCATACTAATTTCAAACTCACTTTGCATAAGATTTGAAAATTCCTTGCACAGAAGAGGATTAGTACTACCAAAAATAATATCATCAACGTAAACTTGAATCATGAGATTACCTTCTGATGATCTTTTAATAGAAAGAGTAGTGTCTACTTTACCTCTTGTAAATCCGTGATCAAGAAGAAATGAGCTGAGTCTTTCGTACCATGCTCATGGAGCTTGTTTGAGTCCATATAGTGCTTTAGTCAATTTGTACATATGGTAGGGAAACTTTGAATCTTCAAATCCAGGAGATTTTTTTGCATATACTTCCTCCTCAATTAAACCATTTAAAAAGGCACTCTTGGCATCCATCTGGAAGAGCCTAAATCTTTTAAAGGATGTGTATGCAAGAAGAATTCGTAATTATTCCAATCGAGCTACCCGAGCAAAATTTTCGTCGTAGTCGACTCCTTCTTGTTGTGAGTATCCTTGAGCTACTAATCTAGCTTTGTTTCTAACAACATTTCCATCCTCATTTAGCTTATTTCTGAAAACCAATTTTGTTCCAATTACAGGAACGTTTTCAGGCTTAGGCAACAGTTTCCATACTTGATTTTTGTCAAATTGATCTATCTCTTTCCGTATTGCTTGTAACCAACTTGCTTGTAACCAACTTGAGTCTTTTAGAGCTTGTAACCAACTTGAGTCTTTCAGAGCTTCCTCTATAAATTTATTTAGTATTTTTAAAGCTAAATTGCATATAATTTCAATATTAGCCTCTTTTAAGATCTAATTGTGTTTATATTTATAAAAACTAACTCTAGTATTTTTAATTTGATAATTACGTAACATTAATTGTTTTAGTACCTTTAATTTCTTTTTCAGAAATTATTCTACTATTTTATAAAATAAAAAGGAAAAAATGGCTATTTAAATGTTAGCCCCGTTCATTTCAATTTTAGCCTTATTTAAACCCCCCAATTGGACCCAATACCCAGCCCAAATCCTAATCTACCCGACCCACAACCCAATTAAATAATCCGCCCGAATTCCCTTTTAATCCCAGCCATTGATCACCTAGATCAATGGCTCACATCAGCCCTTTCCTTTTTTAATTCCCAACTAACCCAAACCCTAATCACTTATCGCCTGTAGCCGCCTTTGTATCCCCCCTTCTCTCAGTTCACTCTCAAACCCTAGCCGCCGCCTTCAATCACCACCTGAAAAGCTCCCAAATCCATGGCTTCCAAAGCCATAGAAAGCCTATATCCGCCTCCCTTGGCCTCTATGTGTTCGAGTTCTATGAGTTACAAGGCCAGACCTTGGAGAAGCTTGGCCCAGACTTTGATCGATCCAGTTTTTATGGCTGTCTCCGATCATCTTCAACCTTGCTCCGGCCGGCTATGGCTATTTAAGCCTGACTCTTGGCTTCTCCTGCTTAGACCAATGATTTTTCCAAGCCTTCCTCACCACATGGGTTCTTATGAAACCCTAACCTTTGAGGTTCTTCCGATTCTTTTAGATCTGTTTTAGATTTGTGTTTACTATAAACTCCTAAACATTTTCTCAAGGTTTCTTTCAAAACTTTACCTTCAGAACCTTTATCTTTTCTGATTTAGGGTTTTTGTTAAATTATTTCGAAGCTTTTTTGATTTTTTAACATGTTCTATTGTGCTTCTTTATGTTGTTCTTCTACTGTGTTTCTTTATGTTGTTCTCCTACTATGTTTCTTTACGTTGTTCTTCTACTGCGTTTCTTTATGTTGCTCTTCTAACTGGAGTGTGCATGTCAAAAGTCTTAGTTACTTTTTGAGATTTCTGAATTTATTTTTTGCCTGATTTACTTGTTTTCGTCTCTATACTCGATTGATGGTGAAAATCCTAAAATTTGGGGGTTTATTCGAGTTCTGAGATTATTTGCTATGTGTTTTACTTGTTCGTCATGCTCTGAATTCGACTGGTTTCGAAACCCTAATTTGCTTTAGACCTATTCGAGTTTCTGAAGTCGCTTCATCTGTTGCTCGACTGAATTTCGAAATCTTCTGCTTCTTTATGTGATTTTGACTTCCTGCTAAACTCTTCTATAAGGTTTTTTTCACTTGACCTCTTTGCATGTTGTTTGATACTCCCTCCTTTTCTCTATTACTAAGTTACTAAAATCGACTTATGTGACTACCATGTTCATTGGCTACTGACTTTGTGTTTGCTATTGCATGATGTTGTTCAGCCTCACATGCCTAATATTTATGCACTCTTTTATATGCTAAACTTTCCTCTAAAATGACCTTCAATTTTGGACTAATTTCAAACCTCTTTGTGTAATTCTGATTGCACTCGTGTAATTGATTCTTGCCTTATTTTTTATTGATTTCCCTATTTTCTGCATTGATAAAACTTCAGACTTTTGATTCTCTTGTCATTAACTTGGTTTATTCATAGGAACCCATGTTACTCTCCTTAAGTCAGTGCTTATGAAATCCTTGACTCCTTGATTTGCTATGTACTGATTTTCGATTCTGCAACTTTACTTTGTTTTCTTACCTTATTTGGTTAACCGAGTATTTTCAAAGATTCTTCCCTTAATTAAACCCCTATGTACTTACCCCAAATGGTCTATTCTATACATGGTGTTCTTTCCTTAAATGATTTCTACCCACTACCGTTTGAATTAAACTCCTTAATTAAAGGGAGTTCTTATACTGATCTGATTTTAATTGACATATAGTTCCATAATTACTGCTGAACAATGATTCTTGCCTTATTTTCCACTTGTTTTCGAACTATAAATACCATACTCTTTCATTAACACAGGCACACACGAACACTCTAAGTTTCTGAACTCACACTCACACTCAAAAATATTCTTTCTTGTTACTTGTACTGTGGCCTGCCTTCAAGATCCTATTACCTGCTTTTACTGTACTTTTGCTTCTTTGAACTGGTATGTCCTGATTAAGATTCCAGCATCGCAACAATGTGTTTACTTAATTCTTTTACCTTCTTGTCTACCCACTGCTTGTGTTTAGTTCAGTACTTTATTCTAGCATGCTGTGATTTCCTTATGCTTGTTCTGAAGTTACTATGCATCCTAAACCTCCATCCCAATGTGTTCAATGCTTATGGTTTGTTTGAGGCATGACAGTGTTGCATATTACTGCCCATGACTCAAGCTTGATCCCTGGGATCCTAACCTCTATGTTTCTCTACTATTGTGTGTTCTGCTGAACTTATAGGCATGCCAACATCTTCTATTGTTGTGCATGCCCAAAAGCTTACCCTTGCCTAAGCATAAGCTCTTTGTAATTTCCCAACCCCCTGAATCCCTTTGTATGAAATTATTAACCTGTTTGTGGTTGTTTCCCTCTCCTTTATTCCCTCACTTGCACTCTCTCTTAGACTTAAGTTCTGCCCCCCTCTTGTGAGCCTTGCCTTGGGACCCCTCGAGCTCCTTCTGAACTTGGACACTTGAGGGCTGGCATTTCCACACTGCACTTGTCCCTATTCTGGTGATACAATTTGGGTGTGAGCACTGCCCGGAGTCTTATTGAGGCTCTTAGGGAACTCTGACACACTCAAATTGGAGAAAGGTTTGGATCCGTGGTCTTTGAGTTGGTCTATCTCATAATTCAGACAGGAAGTCAAGAATCAGGCCTTCTATAGTTGTAATCATTTTCTTTGTATTTTTTGATGCATTTGTTACTCTGGTTTGTAATAATTTGTAAAGAATACTTGGGGTTGGCTAGTGAAACAGGGTCGGGGCAACTATGCATGCAAAGGGTAGAAATCATGCCTATAGGACTATTACAGTTCTGCATATTCAACTACATATATATATCATGCCTATAGGACTGTTACAATTCTGCATATTCAACTACATATAGAAATCATGCCTATAGGACTGTTACAATTCTGCATATTCAACTACATATAGAAATCATGCCTATATGACTAGTACAATTCTGCATATTCAACTACATATAGAAATCATGCCTATAGGACTGGTACAATTCTGCATATTCAACTTCACCTAGAAATCATGCCTATAGGATCGTTCAAGCGTCATTCTGCATAATTCAAACTGCATTTAGATACCATGTTTATAAGATTTAAAACCAGTATCTGCATTCATAAGTGTCTAAAATCAGCAACGTGTAGAAAATATGCCTATAGGAGTTTCTAAATGAATCTGATTCGCTTCACTCAATGCAAGACGTAAAAATCAGTAATAATATATACTATCACCTGCAGAACCTGACATCAATTTGTTAATTCTACATCTCTTTTGATAATCTAAGCCCTTTACCTAATCAAAGTTTAGCAAGCATGCCTATAGGATCCCAAATAATTCATTTCGAGTTTTACTGTCTTATAACCTTCTAAATTCAGTAGATATCATGTCTATAGGACCCCGTCTGTACACTTAGGCAAGCCTTAGAGTAATAATTAAAAACTTAATCCGCTTCTGTTAATTATTACGACCAACAGGAAGGCCTGATTCGGGCTTCTTATCTGAATTATGTAATAAACCAATCTACCCCAACTTTTAAACTCCCTCATATTTAATTCTAATCAGACCTAAGCAGTACGTGCAAGACATGCTATTATGTGCTTTTCTGTTCAAGGAGGTATAATTGAGCCTTATATGTTTATATGTCTCCCAAAATATGCAGTATGTGTTTTTGACTATCGCCTTAGAATTTTACCTTTGAAACCCATATAAGCCTAATATCCCTCCCTTTAGGATTAGTAGTCCTAAGTGCCTCCGGGACTGATAAGGGTGGGACGGGTAATAGCATGCAATAGATAATTGATACCAGTCCGCGCTTTAAATACCTTAACGGGGTGGGATGGGTAGATTTGGATATGATGACCACGCGATAATGTCACGTGTA